GGATATCAGTCTTATTACATATCCAGAGAGATCCATCATGAAGCAGCCTTCCTCCAGCACATGCACACTCTAATCACTCTCGCTTCACTTCACCCATGCAAATGACAGGGACTTTTCTCTGTGTTGCCAAGAAGAAGAAGAAGAAGAAGAAGAAGACAGGACAGGTTGTAGCAGTTAGGAGAAATCTGATAAATGACGCGGGGAAATCTTTAGTTTGGTCCAAATCCTCTGACTAAGAAATGGTGTGAAGAGGAGAAAACTCCAACTAGGTCAAAATGTTTACACCCGGTCAGGGATTTGAGAATCTTCCAGGAAAATACAGTTGTGCGCTCCAGCTGCAGCAGGAGTGTGTCCGCGCTCATGCAGATATGACAGTGCGTGTGTGTGTGTGTCATGTACAGCTGGGCATCTATTCACATCTCTGCAGAGTAAAGCAGCTGAAAGATGTTCTGTTCTGTTTTTCTATGCATTTAGAACTATGTGAAGCATCTGAAAGAGCATTCAGATCATTATGGGGCGTTCAACTACCCACTGAAATCCAAAAGAGAGAAATCATTTTGGTTTAGTTTAGGGTAGAGGACTTTTGGGATACATTTCTGCTTCGGGAAGAGGAGTAAAATGGCAAGGAAACTAAATTAAATGTGCAAAGACTATTAACTGTAAAACCTCTGTTCCAGATTAGTTGGTGTGTGATTTACGTCGGCAGAGGCCTCCACTCTCCCGTTGATGTGTGTGTGTGTGTGTGTGTGTGTGTGTGTGTGAGGAATCTACCTGTATCTCTTGTTGTCCACAGCCACGATGTCCATGGCGATGTAATACTGCTGGTGAGGGTCCAGACCGGCGATCTTGACTCGCATGGCAGGAAACATCCTCCTGAAAGAGAGAAAAACAACATGAAGTGGTGAGTTTCTGTCCATTTCCTCCTGCTATTTAAATGAGGGAAACATATGAACATTTTAAATAATGCCTCTGAAAATAGCGTTTGTGGAGAAACTCAGCATCATTGAAATGAGACCAGTGAGCCCGGCAGCTGTTCTATGGTAAACTAGCTCACAACAAATAGACAGAGGCAAATAAACTCAAATGTAAACATTCAGATTTCATATCTTCTATTCTGCAGCTGTGGACGAATAGGAACCTGAGGTATACCTCTACTCAAACTAGATTATTTATAGAAGCAAGAAATAAGACGTTATATCAAAACAAGTATGCCTACACCTGCTAAGTGTTTAATCCTATTCAACATTGCAAAGGTTAACAATCAATCAGGCCTTTTTATATCAGGTCACCCTATCAACAAACACATCCAAAAAGAAATTATTGAAAAATCTAAAAAACATTAGCTACGATTTGATCAACAAGTGCACCATCAATCTCAGAAAGTGAGTCCGTCACTCCAAACCATCCTGACTTTTATTACGATTTTTTTAATTATCATAAATGTTTTTGCAGTCAAGCATTTAATTTGAGCATGTGAGCAACACAATGGACTCTTACATCATCATAACCGCTGGATTAACTCCTAAATTACACAACTGTGGCTGCTTCACTGAATACACGGCATTATAGGATTTAGATATTAAAGTAATGGGAAATAAGATTTTACAAACATTTATTAATTATTAGTTGCATTCATACATTAATATTTGTTTTCTACTTACAGAACTATTTGACATTCCTTTAAAACCGTTAAAATGTAAACACAGAGATGTTTGTTCAGTGCTGAGTAAACCCACCAAACAGCAAGGACACATTTTTAGACCGGTCACTAAAGACCACCATTTAAAAACATAATATTAAAAATAATATTGCAATTTCATTTTGGTTATTTTAAGCTGCAATTTCAAAGATACTTAAAAAAAGATGGCAGGCGTTTCAGACTAACTGGTGCTGATTTGCTTCAAAGATTTACTGAAATCCATCCAATCCTGTAAATGGGAAAGTCTCCTCTGCAGCTTGTGGTCGGTCAGAGTTCAGGATTATAGGAAATACACTCTTTAGCTGTATTGAATTCAATATAATAAATAACATTTAGTCAAAAAACTCTCTGCCATTACTCTGATTTATGGATTTATAAAAAATGTAATACATTAAATTGCTCTTTTCATGAAATATTTCCAGTCTCTCTTCCCAGCTTGTAAAGATTTCCATTATTTAAGTGTAAAGAAATAATTTGTTTTATATTACCATGCCACTGTGACCTCTGACCTTTATGAAATTAGGAATTATTCTGTGGCTTCAGTTTTCTATTTTAACGCAATACTTTTAAAATGTCATAAAAACAAATGTATTTTTTTTATCTTTGAACGAGTTTGACAAACATCTCCTCCCATTGGCTGCAGACTAACGCTTGACATCCATGCAAAACCCCGGAAATTGTAGTAAAAGAAAAAAAAAAACAGTGCCTATATTAGCAGTCTGTATGAGGAGAAGGAGACATTTGGACTTAATTCCTCGTTTTGCACTTCAAACATTTCATCTAAAGGTCGTAAATCGGGGCCTGCCTAATGAGAACAGAGGGCTGCTCGCCTGCTTCCCCCTACCCCTCCCCGCTTCTGGATTTATGAGCTTATTATGAGCAGGCCGTGAAATACAGTCACTGCGCTTCAGCAAGAAATGATTGTCGCGCCATTTATGAGCTGATTACCAATTTAAAGCCAATTCATAAAAGCAGCCAAGTGTATGGTGCGTAACGAGCAAAGAGCGACTTAAGTTTACATTAACCTGAAGTCAGAACTGAGAGGATATATATAATATATAACTGTGGTTTCAAAACTAATAGGTGGCCTTTTTATCCACTAAACCTGAGTTGTGTATTACAAAAAAGAAATCTCTTGACTTTAACAACAAGTTTTCATTCTGGTTTGATAAAAAACTGTTGGATCAATAAAAGTTTCTTTATAAGACTGACTTGCCCAATATTACATGTTACATTTGAGCCATTTTGTAAAATGTTCCACGCATTAGAATGAACCAGTTCACCATTTGGAGGGTGAAAACAAGTGGGGAAATACAGAACAATGTATTTTATAAAGTACCTACACGGACTTTTCCTTATTATTTAATACAATAAACCTGGATGAAATTATTAAACTTCACTCTTGTCATGAAATCCCAAAAACTGTTCTATATGAAGAAACTTTTTGTATTCCTCCACACTATGAAGACCTTGTGGGGGCCGTCTGCCGTAAAGCGATATTAAACCTGATGTCAGTCACGTGCACCGAGGGGGGAATGTAAGTGTGATGTGCGGTGCTCCGGGCAGTCTGCGGGGAGAGGAGCTCTTTCCTGCGGGTCAACCTCTGCGCTTACTCCGGGTTTGCACTACTGGCCCGGGAGAGCAAAAAAAAGAAAACCCCGGAACATGTTCCACAGATTAATGAGAACCAGCTCTCCTTATCCTGCGACATCAGGAGCAACCTGCCGCGTCACGAAGGCCTGAACACGGCAGAGAGGCCTGCATGTGCAACACATTAACACCCAGCAACAGAGCAGAGGTGTGTGTGTGTGTGTGTTTCAGCTCTAAATGAACTGTATGTTCAACTCTTTAGTGGTTCTTCCTCATCGCAAATACTTTTTGAGCGTCTTCTCACACTTTGACGCACACTTTATTCACACCTTACGCACACTGTACGCACAGTTGTCTACACTGTTCAGAGCTACTTCCAGCAGCTGTGTGTGTGTGTGTGTGTTTCCGGCCTACCTGCCCGCCTTGGTGATGATCATCTCCGTGCCGATGTCATGGAAGCGCTTCCACAGGTCGGCGCACTGCAGCTCCACCTGGATCTCCTCCATGGAGGCGGGGGGCGACGGTTCGCAGGGGACCGGGGCCAGGTCAGCTGGGGAGTCGAAGGAGCACGACGTCCTCTCGGCCAGACCCTCTCCGTCCGAGCCGGGACTCGCCTCTGAGTCTGAGGGGAGCAAGAGGAAGAGGATGAGAAGCCAGCTCTGAAACTGTGGAATTAAAATGCTTTACGCAGGAAACTTGGCACAGAGAGGAGGCAAAGAGGCTGACTCCAGATCACCTGCCGGCTGCAGCTTGGAGAGCAGCGGCACAGTTTGGCTCGCTGGATTTCTGGGCTGATGTCAAAAGCAGAATAAATGTTGCGTAAAGACTTTGAAATGGGATTTTGTTTTAAATTGGGCCACACAATGTAAAAAATTCCGATGGGAAACGTTTAGTCAATTTAGTTTCCCCTTTAAGGGTTCCTCCAGGACCGACTTTAACAGACTGAACATTCAGAGTCATCAACAGTCACCATGTTGGGGCAGATCAAAAAGTAATAATCCAGACGTCCAGGAAAGCTTTCCATCAGCCTCTCACTCACTCTCACACACACACACCAGCTTGGCTCTCTTCATTTCAAACCAACATCAGGGAGGACACGATAACAAGTACATGGGACAATCTTCCAAAACCATGAGACCTTTGTGAAGAGTAAGCAGTGAAGATGTTCCTTTCTTTTTATTTTGTTTCTCTAATGTTGACCTCTAACCCCTCACAACACTATCCTATTCAGTAAAAGTGAAACTATAATAATAATATATTACAACAGATTTTCAGAAGAAATTTTTTTTCACTTTTGCCAATTAACAACATTTTAAAACTTAATTTCCACTTTAAGAAAACTGCAACATTTCTCAACCAAGACTTTTTCAACTTGACCTCTAAAAGTTACTCAACACACGCATGATGTTTTTAAAAATATGGTGGAAACTTGTGGGGTTATATATCAAAACACTTGGGATGTTAAGTCCTCAACGCTCGGCACCTCAGATCTGCACTTCACCCCGATAAAACTCACCACAAAATGTCTCTTATTCCACTTTTCTCAGAAATAGTTTACAGCTGAATATGCTACACCACCACCACCTCCCCCCCCAAACAAATATCTAATAATGTATTATTTATTGGGAGCCCTGACACGAGGAGGTTGACTTGGCAGAGGAAGGGCACACAAAGACGGTTATGCAAATAGGGAGACTGGACAGCTTCCCAGGCGAAACACCACAGAGCAGAACGAGCCAACACATGGGAACAAGAGACGAGTGATGGAGATAGGAGGAGGAGGAGGAGGAGGAGGAGGAGGAGGAGGAGGAGGAGAGGAAGAGGGGAGTGTGATGACCACAGAGACACAGAGAGAGACTTTCCATCATCCTCTTCTTGGGAGATCCTCCTCGGGCCTCTGCAACCAGAGAGGACTGTTTCCCCTTCTCTGTTTAAGTGAGAGGATTGAGAGAAGAGGAGAGAGCGAGGAGAGAGAGAGAGAGAGAGAGAGGAGAGAGAGAGAGAGAGAGAGAGAGAGGAGAAGAGAGAGAGAGAGAGAGAGAATAGAGAGAGAGCAAGAGATAATACATCGATACAGTAAGGATAGCTCTCTATCTCTCTCTCATATTCATATCTATATCTCTCTCTATCTCTCTCTCTCTTCTCTCTCTCTCTCTCTCTCATATCCTATCTGTTCTTCTTCTTGTTCCTGCAACTTGAACCATTTAGTTATATGTTATTGCACCACTAATGCATGTATGTCTTTTCTTTATCACCATATTTGTATGTTGCACTGTCAGAGGCAGCTCTAATCCCAGGAAACAAAACGCACTTTTGTAATTTAATCTTTGGGCAATAATAGGATTATATTTTACAAACAGGCATTTTCATTTAAAAAGGGAGAGCGAGAGATATCTGATGTCTGATGGATTCCTTCGCACACTGCAGACAGACAGCACAGTGTGGTGTGTGTGTGTGTGGTGTGTGTGTGTGTGTGTGTTGGTGTGTGTGTGATGTGTTGGTGTGTGTGTGTGTGTGTGTGTGTGTGTGTGTGTGTGTGGTGGTGTGTGTGTGTGTGTGTGTGTGTGTGTGTGGTGTGTGTGTGTGTGTGTGTGTGCAGTGTGTATACAACCGAGATGGACTAAAGGTGTAACCCAGTTTTTCACTTTCGTTTTGGCCATTTGTTTTTGTATTCGCAAAATGTACGTTATATGTTTTTATAAATATTTCTATTTTTGTATGTATATAGTCAGTCTGAAATATACTGGTAGCTGCATCAATGAGGCAACACGCTTCAAATGATCCAATTTCCAAGCTGATTTACACAAAGTGATTCCCAACCAGGTCTGTCAACTGGATTTAGACTTCTGTATTATTTTGTTAATATCAGACATTAATCAAATATCAGCAGCTCGGTGTCATCGACCAGATGTAATGCCGGACAAATGCTCTGATTTCAAGTGGTATTACTTTGATGATTTCATATTAAATAATGATATAGTAATTTGCCATACACATAGAAGGCCCAAAGTGTGTGTCCTGTACCCGGAGAATTAGTCTGGAGATTTGGGATCTTATGATGTTAATGTTCTTTCTTTAATGTTCACATAAAAACTGAAATCTGCTTGAATATTTGCAACACATTGACGATTAAAAAGAAATAATTTGCCTTTCAAGCAGTCCGCCAATAGACACCCTGTCATCAACTGAAGGACCTGTCCCCTGTTGGTCCCCTACCTCTCAACACACACACACACTTACTGTACATCGACACACACACATTAAGGTCCAAACCAAGAGCTATGTCTGTATGTACGGACAAAAGCACCAATGTGTAGCTGCTATAGATCTGTGTTTTTTTCTATAAATGTAAGCATCCAAGGATAATATTTTGTAGTTTATGTGAAGGTCTTCTTTTAGTTTCTAAATTGCACTCTTAGGTTAAATGTTTACTAGTTAATTTGTTCAACAAAAATAACACTGAATTAATCACAACAGACATTCATCGATCAACAAAACTTGCCCAATTATCAGAAGGCGGCCCTGATATGTGCTCTGGTTGAAACAGACACACATACTCTCTCACTCACACACACACACACACACACACACACACACACACACACACACACACACACACACACACACACACACACACACACACACACACACACACACACACACACACACACACACACACACACACACACACACACACACACACACACACACACACACACACACACACACACACACACACACACACACACACACACACACACACACACACACACACACACACACACACACACACACACACACACACACACACACACACACACACACACACACTCTCTTGCGGTTAAGGGCCAGTCCAGGCCTCATTAAAACCAGTCTAACATCCACAGTAGGCCACTATTTCCTCTGAATGTAATAAAGTCAGTGTTCACATCAGCTTCAGGGGGGCTGGAACCCGCTTTACGAAGGAATTTAGTGCATACACATTCAAATATCACAGATAGTGTTTTTAATGTCGCTACAAAGAAGATGTTTAGGGAGACAAAATGTACTTCTGGTGGTTCTCCTCTGACGGAAAGCTTTTAGGAATGTGTATTATAGTTGAGTTAAGTTCTAACTATTTTTAGGTATAGGAAATATTACTTTTTTGAAATGCGTCTTGTGGATACTATTTTTAAAAGTGGGAGCTGCAGATATGTGGGATAAATCTTTATCATTTGTCTGACCTGGATTTGTAATCGTTTTTTTGTTTGCAGTAGCAGGTAAATATATCTCAATCTGATTTACAATATCCTACTCATTTAGAAAGATTATTAGGATAAAGAAAATGAATCCCTCTACAACGTCCTAAGTATTCTGTACAGCTATCAGCATTAATAAAACCTAGAGAATGTTATTTGAACATTTCCAAACATAAGAATTATAAATATAAGGCTTACATTTGGGAAACTTGTAAAAAAAATCGATCTCATATTAATGTTTTTAAAAAAAACACGTTTTCTTAAATTTGAGTATTTAAAAAGTAAAAAGCACCAAATAATGTTTTAACTCAATGAGGCGAAAAATGCACCATATATAATAATACTGTTAAAGAGCATGGACACATTTTAGTTTTTCCAATTCATAGATTATTAATGAGAAATGTAAAAGTTTAAGAGGTTAACAAATGTGAAGTTATATTCTACTAATTGTATTTATAAATTGAGTATCTTTAAATAGTCCTTTAAAAGGGGGAGTTGGTGAATTGAATGAAGTCTCAGCAGATTTCTGGAGTGGACAGAAGCGATATCTCCATGAAATCACAAAGTAAGCAATACACACAGAGCACCTGTCACTGAAGAGAGTCAGCAGTAAAACCTTCATGTGCACAACTCTCTTATCCGCCTGCGTAAAAGTAGAGACACCAATACAATAGAAGCTGCAGCGACTGGATCATTTAAGGAGTATATACATTAATCCTCTTAATATTTAATTGACCGACTAGTGAGGTGTTAGCAGTGAGTTTTATCTGTGCGTAATCTGTTCGTAAAAGCGAAAAGTGTCACCTTGTAAATCAGCCTGCACGCAAGTAGAGAAATCAATAGAACGAGCAGCGATTGGATAATTTAAGAGGTATATCATTATTCATTAATCCTCTAAATATTGTAATTGACCCACGCCTAGTGAGGTGTTAGCAGTGAGTTATATCTGTGCGTTAAAGCGAAAGGTGCCACCTTATAAATCACATAGTTTGAGCCAAGCATTAAATATTAAATTATACTAGATGTAGTTCAACTTGTTAATTAGTATCTTAAAAGGTAAATATTATGGAGATGTGGTTGTAGCAGTTTTGTGAGGTCTAACTAAAACAGGGTTTCTGTGCTGACTGAACCGTTCAGGCCTCTCAGTCCTGCCCTTGTCTTTGAGGCTAATAAACGTGTTATACGAGCAGCCGGCCTGCAGCTGAGTCAAAATAAAATCACTCCGTTAAGGATTCCTCTAAACCACATAATCTGACCACAGAGACTGGCTGTTCTCGGTCACCGCTGCCCGGCGCGCCAAAGCGGAGGCTGGAGGACCCGAGGAGGACCGGCTGAACCTGCCAGCAACCCGCCTGCTAATGAGAGCGAGGAGGGGGGGGGGGGGGGGGGGGGGGACCGGGGCCTGGCTAATTTACTGAGCCACAAATACTAAATCTTTCCGGAACAAAAACCCTAGGATACGGTGAACTGAAATACTTTTAATGCTGGATTTGAAAAATGCCTGCAGGGTTGTATAATGAGATTTTTGGTGGCTTAGCGTTGCCCCTTGAAAACACACAAACAAGCTGTTTGTCATTAACAACACTGAAGTCAACATTTAGTCTCACCTCCCTCATTTAACTGCAATGCACACAGTTCAATATTTTAAAGACAGCAACAACAATCTTCCCTTGACAGACAGAATCTCCCTCATCAAATATTCTTCTAAAGGGTCAATTACTGTTGTTTTCTATATTTGTCAGTCACCAGTAGTTTGAGAGCAGAGGAGCCGTGCGTAAAGGCGCAGCTCCGGGTCAGACTGCAGCGTCGGCCTGAGCAAATTTTATTATTTATTTTGTATTCCTGCAAGTCTATACATTTCCACAAATAACTACATGCATGTGATTTAAATATAAGAGGACAGACCATTTTTGTATAGCCAAATTGAATATTGAATACATACAAACAAGCCTCATTTGGATCCATAATACCCACGAAGATCACAAAATCTAAATGTTGCAGGCAAACGACAAAACGTAAACATTGTTTTATCAGAATTAAATTATTTTTCAGGTTTGTTTTTTGATAATTAATCATCAGCTGTGGGTCGAGCATGATACGCAACTGTGTGTCTGTGTTTTAAAAGCAGTAACAGTTTAAAGCGAATCAGCGAGTTTAAAAATGTCCTCAGGTTCCGAAACTGAATGTGCAGCAGGTTTATCAACAGTTCTTCTTCAAACACTAAACTCTAAAATAAAACACCAATTGAATTACACCTGCAATTACTTAATTCCATTCATGTAAATGTACATGCTAAAAATGTAATTAAAGTTTAAGTAAATTAAAAACCTGCTCAAAGCAAAATATGTTTTGCTTACGTAGAAATTGTCTAGGTGTTGCAAAAAATCTCGTTATCGCATGACTGACAAAAATATTAAACTCAAATATCTTTAAAACTTCTAAATATATTTTAGCAACTTTCTTACCTTGCTATCTAATGTGTCCTGGGTGTACTACACATTGATTAAAAATGACCTGTTTATCTTGAAAATAAATGTAAATGTGTATCATTATTATTTCAAATACAGTATCATTTATTAACATTATAAGCGAAGGTTAACTGGTTTGTAACAACTACCATATTAAAACTGATTTCACGTTTTTCACGCAAGATGAAATCTGCTGTTATACTTGAAAAGTTGTCTGACCGCTCTCACAACAACATTAGATTTTCTGCCCTATTACTGCAAGTAATTGCAATCCTGCACTGGGATGTTATTTCTCAGCAGTCTATATTATGATAAACAGATATCTGGAAGATTTTGCCTGAAAATAAAAAAGGTAATTTACTTTGTGCTGCCAGCCGGGGCCTCCCTGCAGGCCTGCAGCCAAACAGAGAGCAAACAGAGAGCCACATAATTTCACGCTTTGACTGACTTTGACTTTGATTTCATTTATGTCTTATTGTGGAATCCACCAGTCCAGAGTCAGAACCTGGACCCTGTGACCCACCATGAAAAAAGGAAACTATACTTTGCATTGTCCCATAGTTTTAGGTTGTTTTGATTCATATGTTACTGATGCAAATTGGTGGATTTGGTGAATTTTGTCGATGCATTTTCTGTGTTTTATTTCTGATAATTGCCAGAAATGTATTATCTGACTGTCTTTCTCTACAGGCCTGTATGCATGAGTTTTATAAACCTCATCAACAGTAAAACTCATCGCTGCAGCAGAGCGGAACCACAGAAACTCTTAAATTAAAAGCCTCCACAGTCCCAGTGAGGCCGTGGAGCTTCTAGCTAAGCCCTGTCGTGGGTTGGGTCACATAAAGTGGAGCCATGTTTTGACTCGGGACTCGCTTTCGTGCTATAACGGAGATCCGGGACATTATACGGTGTGGTGCACTGACCCGGGTCCATATCCAGACAGTGCGCCGCGTCCTCCCCCTCCGTGCCGAGGCTCTCCATGGACAGCTCCAGCTCCTTGTCCTCCCAGCCCCGGAGCTTCCTCTTCTTGTTGGAGCCGATCAGGGCTTCCACTGAAAACGCGTGGGCTCTCGAGCTCAGAGCTGCAGCAGATCGCCTCCTCTCACTCATTTCTCTCAAATCCACCCGAAGGGGGTGAGGCGGCGATAAACCCTCTCCGTCCGTCCCACGCAGTGAAGCAAAAACAGTGAAAACCGCTTAGAGTTTACAGCGAGGCGCGAACTCACCAAGTGTCCAAAATAATCCCAAACTGTGACTAGAAACGCCGCGTGAACTGTGCCATCCCGGCTGCGCGTGGACAGATAGTTTGGATTCACGCGTCTCTACGTGCTTCCACTCCGCGTCTTTCTTTTTCTCTTTCTGTCCCCCCAACTTCTCGCTGATTGATACTCACTTCTGGAGGAGTTTTTTTTTCATGCGCAAAGAGGCGGCGCTACAGCTGTCTGTCAAACCGGAACATCCAATCAGAAGTTAGGAAACACAGCGAAAGAAAGTGTTTCGTCCAATGGGAGCTGAGGGAGACGCGCGTCCTGGAAGAAGAACATTCATCTTTTAGCAGAATAATGAAAGGATCCCATAATGACAAATAAAATATCATATTATCGTTTTTCTTATTGTGTCCAAATCTGCTTTAAGCCTAGATTTCCCTGCAACCAAAATGTGATTAAAGGCCAAACAGAAAAATAAAATAACCAGTGTCACTTTGTGTTGCATTTTGTATTTTTATTGACCTCATCAGTCTGATGTCTCCCTCTTCACCTTCTGCAGATTCACTTCTCCTCCTCTTCATGCCTTGGGCCCTCACCTCGAGGCCCCTCATCCATCCCGAAGTGATTTTGATATCTAACTTTTCACCAACTCTGTCCGAGCCGCTGATTGCATCATTAGGACTGAAGGAAAAGGCACATTACAGCTTCATTGTGTCGCGCAACAGCTGAGGAGCAGATCTGCGCGAGACAGGTGGACTGAGCTCAAACAGGCACGAGGAGATTAGCAAGTGAAATGGTTTCTGCTCGGCCTTTTACAGCCGCTTACAGAAAACACATTTATATTATGCACAATAAAATATTGTTTGAAACCGTTTAAAGGGACATTTAGAAGCTGGTTTAGTAGATTTGGAGTTTCAATCAGCAGCCTGTTATTTATTCTATTAGCCATTAGATAATAATGTTGTTAATTTTACTCAAACATGATAAAGCCAATCCTCCCTATAATAATGATTCGACAAATGAATAAACAATTTTGCTATTTTAATAAAACAAATATATATTGACTCTGGCCTCGTGCAAATAAGACATGTTTTTAAAAGCGAGTAAATAGGCTATTTAGGTTATAAATAAAAGAATAGAAAATACGTAATTTTTGAAATAATAATAAGTCAAGTCTTCTAAATAGCCCTAACACACATCACAAGGGGTTATATACACAAGTAAAATAAATAAGACTATAATAATAATAATAATAATAATAATAATAATAATAATAATAATACATGTTTTGAGCAGCTTCTACACCGCGGGGGAAATATGTCACACATCTCCAGTCTTCAGCACATTGAGAATATATCAGAGTAAATAAGAGAGGGTGATCTCTGCAGAGGAGAGACGGAGTCAACCTGCGGAAAATGCATCTGTCCGAAGGTGCATTTGTAGATTTGAAACGCATATGAAAGTGCGCACCTGGCTACAATTAAAAACAAAAACATGAAAACTACGATATTAGGCCTGAATCAAAACCATAATGACGTTTGAAATGAAGTAGCCTATATCGCAGAAATATTTTACCACAGCCTAAACAAACAAGTCATCTTACACAAATACGTGCATTCATCGTTTTACACGTTTTGACAAGTTTACGTTAAGTGCGTAAATAGCCCAAATGTCATCAGCTTCTACAAGTTGACGTAATCTGACGTAGTACTGACACAATGTGCATTTGGTGCCTTTTTGACGCTTTAATTTAATATAAATAATGTATCAGATGAGAGGTTTAAACAAATGTGTGCGTAGGCTACTCAATCAGATATTCAGAGGTAAATAAATGATGTGGATATGAATGGCATTTGACGATTGTAAACTGTGGATGCTGATTTTACGAGATGATTTTGTGCGATTTAAGGCTTGTGCGTAAAGTAAACAAGTAAACATTCTCCGTGTAAGCTCGTGAGTGTGTATATGGGTGGGTGGGTTTAAATCTCTGTGGGATAAGCTCGTAAAACACACATTAAAAAATAAAACCAACTGTTTGGATCAGTTATAGCTGCGATGGCATCTCTTTAAGTCAATATGTTTCTGTATATTTCTATATATTGCCTATAGTGAAATTGTATATTGTAGAGTATTCAAATGTATTTTCTATATATTGTGTATTTTTTTTAGATAGCCTACTCTGTAATGATGTATAGTTGCTGTTAATGTTAATTTCTAGTTTGATTATATGTGTATGTTATTCTATCTTTTAAATATTGTAACTCATGTGTAATGCTTGACAACACTGCTGCTGTGACAAAATAATTTCCAAATGTGTGATGAAGGAAGTATTTATATCTATCTAAAAGGGTCAACAATGTTTTTTTTTTCTCTCCAACACTTGCTGATTTATCTTGCGGTGGTTTGTATACATTTTCAAAACACACTATTCTTATCTGTTTGTTTTTCTGTTTTTACCAGAGTGTGTCCTCTTTACGCAAACACAGAGATCTTTGTTTTTTTGCTGATAACAGACAGAAAAGCGTATGGCGGCCGAAGAGCGTCAAGCGTGCCGTTAATATTCAATTAGGGAAAGAAAGCGTTTGACCCCGCCTGACCCCGGGGATAAAGCCTGCCGTAAAGCATCCAGACTGACAGCAGCTCCCGGGCGGTTTCACCACCTTCACCCGGGACAAGGACAACCATCCCCCTTGTGCAAGAGCCACATTTAGCGGGGAGAGCAACTGCAGGAGCCGGGAGAAGAGAGAGTGGTCAGAGCAGGGCCTACATATCCAAACATTACGCTCAGTCAAGCGCAAAGCACCAGTGGTTTAAGTACAATTTTGTATTTCGATTTTTTTGCTACTTTGTCCTTCTACTTCACTACAATGCAGAGGAAAAGGTTGTACTTTTATTCCACTACATTAGTTTAATACCTTAAAGTTACCTTGCATATTTTGTTTATTGAAGTGAAATATAATCAAGTCTTAAATCTGACTTTAGTTACACCTGGAGTAAATTCACAAGTTACCTTGCAGTATACAAAGTCATTCAAACTAGCTGCACCTTTAATAACACTTTAATGCATCAATAATCATATTCAAAACATATCATGTATATTAATCTGCATAACGAGTAATTTTACTTTTGGTACTTTAAGTGTATTTTGATGCAAATACTTTGTACTTTTACTTGAGAAACCTTTTGAATGGACTTCTACTTGTAACAGAGTATCTCTGGTACTTGTACTTTTACTTAAGTACAAGATCTGAGTACTCTCCCACCTCTGTAAAGCACAACATGACTAACCTCATGATGTTGGTGCTAAATTGCGCATTTAACGAGGAAGTGTGTTATGATCACAAACAAGAAGTCAGAGTTCAGGCTTTGAAGCCTCACGAGACACACTTTCCTTAAGGGTTGATGACTGAGACAAAAACAAACATCAAAGCAGGAAATACACAGTCTGGTTATGTGTGCAACGAGGCCTGTGAGTATTGACAGGAAGACATTAGCCTCAGGGAATCATTTTTTGTTTGAATTTTCTTGAAACATGAAAGAGATTTTTATAAAGACAAATGTGTCATTTAAGTACCCTAAAATACAGGTTTATATAAGGCTCTCTCCCCATATTAAAAATACATAAATAAATAAAAATTATCATGATCGTTTAAAAAAAAAAAAAATTACTCATTTCGTTTTTTTGTGAAGACGAAGAACGGGCCTAAAATAAATCCTAAAAAATGGCAAATAACAGATGGAGCCACTTTGCGTAAACTATGTATTATAATTACTGGACAGAAATCAGACATCCTAAATAAATACATAAAATAATATTAAATAACATTCGGATCTGGGATGTTTTTTTCCCTTCGTCTTGATTTGGGTGCTTATAAAATGTAATTTAGATACGGAAAAACATACACCACTTTAATCCTCAAAGCATCACTAAATATTCAATTATAAAGTATTTTGAAAAACGTATAATAAAATGAATAAAATACAAACTAGCTAGAAGAAATATAGTAATAATACATTATAAGTGGCAGGTCACTGATAACAACTGCATAATTACAAGTTCCTTGTGTCTAATTGCGTGTTAAAAATAACAAGCTTTTTGATTAATTATAAGTATTTAATGTGTCTGCATGGTCACAGAGCAGCACTCTGAATAAAGAGGCTCTAATGTCTGGAGGTTGAGAGGTTTAATGTTTATAGTTTCCTCTCTGCGTGTCGTGAACAACGTCTATAACGTAGCATTTATTTGTTCTGTAGATGTTTCCATTTACCACAATTTCTTTAAAAATAAAGTTACATTTATTACGGGTCTATTAAAGCTTTTACCTCTGCGCATAAAACGGGTCAGTTACGTCGTCGCTCTCACATTAAACCGGTCCTGATATCACTGCTGCTCACTTTACAGACACATGTATTTGTCATAATGCAGCTGCAGTCACAGATTTACTGCCTGGTGTGTGTGTGTGTGTGTGTGTGTGTGTGTGTGTGTGTGTGTGTGTGTGTGTGTGTGTGTGTGTGTGTGTGTGTGTGTGTGTGTGTGTGTGTGTTGCAATTTTGTTTTATACTCGGGCAGCTGCCAACAGGAACAAAAAAGCAGCAACGGTAAGTAAACCATGCGAGGACACCGAGCAGCTCCCAGGTAAACACCCGGATGGAAAAATCACTGCGTGGGCCAGATCGTGTGTGTGTGTGTGTGTGTGTGTGTGTGTGTGTGTGTGTGTGTGTGTGTGAGAGAATTAAACAAGGGCTACGTATTTTCAATGAGAGAAAGTGTGATGGCAGGGAGCAGAAAGTTGAAACTGAATAAGTAGAAGGACGTTGAGGGAGAAAAGTTATTTAAAAGTAAAAAGAAGACCTCAAAGAAGCAAAAGAGGAAAGACAGCGGAAACAGTAGGCTACATTTTTGATTGATTGATTGATACATTTTATTTCGAACCAGTAAAATAAATAATTACAAAACAAAACAAATGTTGCAGCGCATAGTCATGTAAGAGAAATCAAAACAAAATGACATTTACAACAACAGCAGTAGCAGCAGCAACATAAACAGTCCCATAGTGTTTCGAAAAGGAGTGAGAAGAAGTATAATTTAATTAATCTCACCCCCTTGTCCCTAAATGATTTATTTATAATCCATAATCTGCAATAATTATCCTTATTATTAATTATTATTGTTATTATTATTAATCTGCTTTACCTGTTGATTGACATATACATATTTAAATACAAAAAAGAGAATAATTTATTGTTAAGAGTTGAGAGCAAACAAAAAGGGAAATGGAAATAATTCCAAAGCAATTTGAGAAATAAGCTTGAAAAGAAAAAAGGAGTTTTATATTTGGTTCAAAATGTAAAAAAAACAAAATTATTTTTTTAAAGCAATTGGGCATGTAGGCTATAACACAAAAGACTTCTTTTAGTTGTCAAATCGAATAATGATAATATAATGAAGTCAATGTTTAGTAAGATTAAGCCAATTATATTTATATAGCCCATGAGAAACAGAAAGATAATTAAGTTAAGTGAAGAAAAGCATCAAAACAAATCAAAGATTCTCACACCAAAGAAAATGTGCCACGATGAAGACGAGTAGATTAGATAACTGGTAAAGTGGGGAATAAAGGAGCCGACTGAAGTGAAGACATTGGAAATGGATTTAAAGCCATTGCTGTTAATAGGGTCTTCATTATTGGGGCTCTGCAGGTGTTTCGTCTCTTTAGTGGACAGAAATAAATGCATCTCACCCACATCACCTGCTTTGTGAACAGCTGAGGCGTGATTGTGTCAAAGTGTGTATGTGTATAAACAGCCAACTGTTAGATTGTGTTTATGGGTGCCAGTAGTGTAATGTAACTAAGATTTGTTTCTATTTTGAGGTACTGAGAATTTGTATTCCCTGCTACTCCTACTCAAATATTGGTATTTTTACTGCGCTAAGTTTGATTTGATAAACCTATATCTTCGAGTATAAAGTAGCTAAAAATATGAAGTATCAAGCAAATACCACAAAGTACTAATTTTGAGTTAGTCTTTACCTCTGAAGTGTGTGTGTGTGTGTGTGTGTGGATGTAGGTTAATGATGCATGGCTATTGATCTAACACTCCTGGTGCACATGTAACATCACAGGACAGAGCTAGTACCAGAGAAGGGTTAGCATAGCTGGCTGGACTCTGTGTGTGTGTGTGTGTGTGTATTAAATGTAAGGTTGTGTAATATGTATCAGTTTGTGTCCACTTGCGTCACTAGTCTCAACAAAATAACTATCAGAAACTGTTGAGCTGCAAATATATAAAACATCATGTGTTTTCTTATCAACAAGATAAAACTGTAAAATAAGCAAACAACACTAATACAAATATTCCCAGTTAACTTTGAGACACACACACACACACACACACACACACACACACACACACACACACACACACACACACACACACACACACACACACACACACACACACACACACACACACACACACACACACACACACACACACACACACACACACACACACACACACACACACACACACACACACACACACACACACACACACACACACACACGGCGTCGTGTCCTGAAGAGTTTCATGCAGCAGCTAGAGACGAGACAATCCTTCACTCATGTATCAATGGTTTTTATTGACCCTCTCTGTTGTGCATGACGGACACTGTTCAAGACCTGTATAACTATATAAGTTACGTCTTAGAATATATTGTTCTAACGTTTCCTTGATTTTAGTGGCACGGCAGATTGGCTGAGAACCGTTAGCATCAAGAACCATAAAGACAAGATCCTGTAAAGAATAGCATGTGGTATTCTGGAAAACACATACATTTAAAACCCCAAAGACAATTAGATAAATAAGTAACAGAGTCTTAAAAAGAAGTGCAGAAACAAAAAGGGACATGTTGTCTTGTTTGGATGGAGAAGAGCAACATTAGCATTGCTTTAAAAGACGTTCCCCCCGCCCTCATTCATTTAAATGAGACAAAGATAGAAGACAAACATAGAGGGCAAAATATCACCAGCAAATCAGTTTAAAGTCACAACGTTTGAGTCCTTTCCACTTTGCTTCCACCACATGTTGCTGTCATGAGTTCCAGCCTTGAATATCCTGGAGATGTTAACAGTCACAGGAATACAACTTGATGTCAGCAGCAGCAGATCTGAGTCCATCCTGCAGTTTAAACCCAGCTCTCAAGTCAGACTGAAGCATCCTTTGTGCTCCAGTCAATCCTCACAGTAAACACAGAGCTGATCCCAGATCAAATGCACGCTGAAGGCTCTTTGAGCAGGTTTTCTCTCAGTGATGGTGCTGTTATGTTAAATGCTTGTTGGTCATGTATTGTGTCTTGATATTTGTCTATGTTGATGTTACACATGGAGCTGCTGTGATGCAAATGTCAGACTTGATCTGACCAATAAAGTATTATCGTATCGTATCTATTCCCCCAGCTCCTCTCAGGAGAAGCCCACCTGAGAGGAGGTGGGGGAATAGATGTTGCTGTCATGAGTTACACCTTGAACATCCTGGAGATGTTAACAGTCACAGGAATAAAACCTGATACCAGCAGCAGCAGATCTGAGTCCATCCTGCAGTTTAAACCCAGCTCCTCTCAGGAGAAGCCCACCCTCTGCCGGACCTCCCTCAGGACGGGTGCAGCTAACTCTCGCGCCCGGCAGCCCCCCTCCCGCAGCACCCCCTCCAGGTGTTGGCGGTCCGCCCTCAGCCTCTGGATCTCCTCTCTGATTGGTGTAACCCTCTGGATCACCGCCTCAGTCACCAGCCTCTTATAAGCCCCCGTGTCCAACCCGGCGGCCTGAGACACCGCCTCCTCCACGCCGATCATCGCCATGGCAGCGTGGATCGTCACCAGGTTGGACACGCCGGGCCGCGTCTCCGGGTCGAACGTCACCTCCGAGTTGAAGTCGGTGACGGCGCGACGCAGCTTGAGGGCGATGTCGTCCGAGGAGTCCGTGAGGCTGATGGTTGCCATGGCGTGAGGGTCGGATTTGGACATTTTGACTGAAGGGTCGCGGAGGGATTTGACCTTTCGTGTAGAGCCTGAGGGAGGGGATCAGATCAGGAAATGTGTTAGTAGGATGAGAACAATTATATAAAACACAATATATCAACTTCAAAGCAAGACGTCTAGTATAGTATATAAGTGTATGTCGATATCTTGTATTTAGTAAACATTGTGTATCTGGGTCTTCAGCACGTACACCACAGACCATGATGAACTGTCTACAAACAGGTTAAGAGTCAATGAGTGAATGATGTAATATCTGTGACTATATCAAGAGATTGTATTGGATGTCTGAAGCCTTTATTGCAAGTTAACACCCAAAATAATTTGCTCCGGCCTCCAGTCTTCCTTGAGCCATCCTGAAATAATACAATATACAAAACCACCGGGTAAAGTGTTTGACAGATTGCAAATACCCTTCTAAGTCGTATACGTTGTATATCTATTCAAATCACAAAACTCAGCTGTAAGAATCAGAGAGTGAGGGACTATGTTGTAGCAAAAAACATTTTAGTTAATAATACAAATAAGTAGAATCCTACATCATTTTGTATGTGCATCTTATAGGAATATGAATTGTAAATGTAGATTCAGAGCTCTGAAGAGTGTCAGCAAATCATCTCCTCAGATTGCACGTGACCCTGACAACAACCTCCACCAATCAGAGGGCAGGGATGCCTGTGTTTAGCCAAAAGAAAGTCCACAAAGCATTCCTAACTTAACGAGAGTACGATAATAACTGAAGGGAAACCCAAATGAACGTGTAAGCATTTTGACGTCCAACGATGTGCTTCTTCCTCATTGAGTTTTTCAACTGAACATACAGAGAGCACTTCTTGAAGAGAATAATACAAAATAATGATTAATCTTTAGTCAATTGTGAATAGATCTTCAGTAAACAAACGTATTGTTTAGGGAAAAGTTGTTCAAGCACTCGTTCATTGACTCTGTAAAGACATCTCCTTGGGAACTAGTCAAGTCCATTTGTTTATATCGGCCGATAGCACACATTTGACCCTGAGGGGTATATATAATATATAACATATGACTCTGTCCTTGGACCGTTACAGCGCACCAGGAAAATCCCCCCCCCGAAAAATCTTTAACATGGGAGAAACTTCCGGAAGAGAACGTCTAAACTAAAGGATCGCTCTCCCAGGACGGACACATGTGCAATACAAGTACATTTTTAATATCTACTGATGGATTTCGGTCAATTCTTTAAGTTAAGATGTGAAACGCCTCGTGGTTCATCAAGTGAAACGCAGCCAATGTAGACGCTGATTGATTGTGTGTGTGTGTGTGTGCAGCAGACGTCTCTGGGTGTGAAGTGATGTGCAGACTGGGAGATCAGGGATTTCCTTTCCTCTCTTATTTATCATCCCACGTCCTTCCGCCATCTTGCAAGCTCCATCTATTATTCTATCCCATAACAGAAGTCCACATCCTTCCCATGTGCCACATCCTGTTTGTCCCCCGTGAGACCTCCTTACTTAAGGAGAATGAAGGACTTTGGGTTGGTTTCAAAGGGAAGATGGTGATTGGTAACTTCGAAGAACAGAACATGAAGACAGGATATGCTAGTTTGAACCACACACTCACACACACACACACACACACACACACACACACACACACACACACACGGAACCCCCTCCCTGAAGTCATCTTGAGGACATCCATTATCACGCTGATACAAGTGGATGAAAATATTTCTTTAATCAAAGCTGCTCTGCACACATGAATGACTCCATCTTGTGCTTTTATGATGCTGATCATCAGTGAGGATGAAACAGGGCGAGGGGCATGTTAGCCATGTGTGTTAACGGTGAGAACATACTGGAAAACACACAGTAATCTTTCCAAAGTCAAACTGTAATAACGTCATAAACATCTTTTCTGGACGGCCTAATATTTTCCCTGAAAGTCTCATTTTCAATTTGACCACTCTTTAACCAGGACAAATATATAATTTGCAACGGGAGACGTGTCCAAAACGACATCACACTAAATCACATTCAGCATTAAGCATAGAAATAAAAAGGGATATGAGTTCCCCCTTTAAAAGTTGTTCCACAGATTATTCCCCAGTTGCTGAGGCAGAGGAAATGAAAGCTTTCATCACTATCCAAGAAATAGCTAAATGCTGCTAAGATAAATCTTATCATGAGAGGAAATGATTGTAAAATGTACTCTGTGAGCATCACTGAACACAGAGAACGAGGTATGAAGGAGTAGGAAACATATTGGAAGAAATAATACATATCATAGATATTGTAGTTTTTGCATTTTTCAAAAAGACAGCGGGTTACTTTACTTCTGAGAAATGTTCATTCTAGCATCTTTCTTTGGGGATATGATACGTAAATAAGTACATAAAGGAGCGTTTCTGTAGCATAAGAGTTTAGTATAACCCCGATGTACCCGGTTCAAACCCCTCCGATGACCTCTGTAGCATCGCTCTCACCGTTTCCTTTTCCTCTCTCCACTATTAGCGCTATCTAATAAAGGCTATAATGCCAAAATGTGTTGTTTTGCTCATCTCATCATTGTCTGCTGGACAAGCTCGGATAGCATCGTCATCCAGACGTTTCCAGCTGCTAAAACAGGGTCTGATAGAAATCACTGGCGTCAGTCTCTTGTATTTACAGAAGAAGAAAATATACACGCTGTAATCTGCTCTGCTCAAACTAAAAGTATCTTCTAGATTCTTATGGTTTTCATTCTTGTTAAAGTGCTCAATTCGTGCTTGTTTCAAAACACACTCTCATTTTTAGAAAACAACTGAAACTAACTGATTTCTAATAAAACTTCTTGACATATTCTAACCGCATTGGCAGATTATGAAAATAGTTTTTGCAAGGAGAATTGTTTACGGAAGAAAAAGTGCTTCAAGGACTCATTGTTAAACACAAAGGATTTTAAAAAAGATGGGAGATTTAACCATAAATCCCTGTCGCACTCTCTCCATAAATATGTACAGTATAAAAGGTTTGATATCTATTTTTGAAAAGCTGCTAAGACTGGGATTTCTTTCAAAGGAGTTTAATGAGCTGTGATGAATTATTGAACTCTATTCAAAGGTTTTTTTCCTCTCCACAGAAACAGGAAACAAATAAAACTACTGAATACTTTTTGTAAAAAGAAAAAGTGAAAGCTACTGAACTCCGGCAAAAAAACCATTGGCAAACAGTGATCTATTATATTATCCGAGCTGGTCTTCGTGTTTAATAAAACGGAGTGTGTGTGTGCCGTTAAGTCTGTAAATGTGTGTGTAGGAGTGTGTGACGGAGTGTGTGCAGGAGTGTGTCCTCACTGAGCAGCGCGGCGGGTTCAGGGAACAGATCTCCGTAGCGGTTGTTGAAGATCCGAGCGAGATCCTGCGCCAGCTCCAGATGTTGGACCTGATCCTCTCCGACGGGCACGTGAGTCGACCTGAGAGACGAAGATGAGACGCAACGTGAGCTTCATCAAACACTGACTGCACAGGAGAGAAAAATAAAAAAGCACAGCATGATGTGAGCGCGGATCGGAGACTCTGCCGGAGCTCAAGGTCGGATCTTTGGAACTGTCACCGGGGAGGAAGTAAACCATTAATATCGTCTTTAATACAATCCAGAAAGTGTAATATATGAGTTGCTTCTTGCTGTCTTTACTTACTACGCAGGATATTAAGTCTTCTATGTTAGATGGTTCAAATAGAAAGCACTGAAGAGACATTTGCTTGGTTTTTATTTTTTATTGTGGAAACACCAGCGTAAAATAATCCAAACAACAAGCGCTCACCAACTCATCATCAGGCGCTTTCTCTCCACTCAAATCTAACATTCTATCAAGAGAAACCACAGCAAACCAGTTGCATTGTTTATATATTAAGGAGTGACAAAGGGCTGACTCATATCACTAAATTAAAAAATATTTTTTGTGGAGATTTCTTGTCGGTGTTTCTCCACATTTTGGGATATCTGTGTGTTAGATTTCTTCCCACAACCCATACAGCGGATGGATAATAATGAAACCATTTTGGCATTTTGCATCAATCTGCTTCTGAACAGGACGGATGTGTGTGTAACCTAACAATAAACATGTCTGCATAACATGCTTTCTACAGGCAAATACATCTGCATAGAAAGCAAAGGGTTGTATCCATTTCTAGGAGGAATATAGATCATGGAAATCAACATTTTTATTGACGAGGGAAGAAAATAATCTATGGCTCGGATTTACTGGAGTCTGAAATATATGGATGTATAACAATAAATTAAACACGCAAACAACAGCCTTCTTTGTACAGAGAAAAGATGAAACGGCTTCGTTAACGGAGCTGAAGACACCATGATTCTCAAAGCAGCTGCAGGTCACGTTTTTCAGTGAGCAAGATATTCTGACCCAGAGTCCTCTGAAAATGAAAACAAACAAACAAACAAACAAACAAACAAACAAACAAACAAACACACACACACACACACACACACACACACACACACACACACACACACACACACACACACACACCACAACACACACACCACTAATCACACACACACACACGACACTACACACACACACACACACAGCACACACACACACACACACAACACACACACCACACACACACACACACACACACACACACACACACAACACACACACACACACACACACACAACCACACACACACACAACACACACACACACACACACACACACACACACACACACACACACCACACACACACACACACACACACACTACACACACACACACACACACACACACACACACACCTACACACACACACACACACACACACACACACACACACACACACACACACACACACACACACACACACACACACACACACACATCACACACACACACACACACACACACACACCACACACACACACACACACACACACACACACACACACACACACACACACACACACACACACACACCACACACACACACACACACACACACACACACACACACACACACACACACACACACACACACACCACACACACACACACACACACACACACACACACACACACACACACACACACACACACACACACACACACACACGTCTCACTTGTAGAGGAGAATATCTGCAGCCTGGAGGACGGGATACGTGAAGAGACCGACACTGCCCTCATTCTTCTGTTTGCTCTTCATCTAAGGAGAATACAGAGGAAGGAAATAAAATACATAATACAAAAATACAAGAGTCGGGAAAGACTGACTCAAGTTGCCATGGAAATAGACATTTTCACTTTTTCGCCTCATCGATTCTCAGACATACTGGTACGGATGAGTTGACGTGACATTTTACAGCGTGTTCAACATCAACCCATGTGTGGTTACAGGCACTGCTTAGAAACAGGCACTGCTGACCCTCTCACTTGGTTTTTATTATACTAAATGTGGCTGGGGGAATATCACTGTAATTGTAATGCAACAGGGATGTTTGATAAATGCTGGGAATTCAGATGGAGTTGAAAAAGTATTGTTAGTTTACAACGTTTAATCCGAAGTTAAGCACATATGAAGTGATAATTAAATCCGCATGGTATATTAAGGAAGATACAGGGGGTCCAACCTTTGATAGAAATATAATATGAATAATAATCACAGCTTATGTTATTGGCTGTAAAAGAAACAAACGTCATCTTCAGATTGTTTGATGAAAGATTTGGCTGCAGAAAATAAACATTTCTTTCACAGAAATCAAAGCTAGTTAGTATTTAATTGAGCTATGAAATAAATACTTTTCATCTCCAGTTGATGAAACAGTTAGTCAGAAACAGATCCAACCGCATCGAGCAACTGGATATTAGGGTTGGACTGATTGGATTTCACATCAACCCATTGAAAATATGACTTGGCATTGTATCTCCATGATGACAGTCTATACAATTTGAAGGGAAGAAACCGTTTTAATATGTAGGTTTTTCATCTGTAGCATAATTAAGCTGCTTCGATATATAGATATATATATATATATATATATATATATATATATATATATATATATATATATATATATATATATATATATATATATATATTGCTCAAGGCTGGAGAATAAGGGGTTAAAGGTTTATAGTAGCTATTTCTGATACCCCCAATATTTCCAAGCAAGGCATTAGGACATGAAAAATACACTTTGGAAAAAAAGTATTTTCACAAATTGTGAATTTCTGAGTTGTATTAATTGTATTTATAGTTTAAATGTGCTGTATATGCAGATGTTTTAGTATAGTTTTGAATTTGAAGTTCAATTCATCAAGATGTCCTGTTTGTGGAACCTTTCTTTACAATGGAGGCAAGTGAGAAAAGTCATTAATACACAAGACAGAGAGTAGTTTTGAGGGGTTTAGTATTCATGTAAGGTCATTATTTAGTAAGTGCAGAGTTACCTTCAGAAGTTGTACTTTGCTACACACAGCATGCTCCAATTTAATCCTTTTGTGTTTGTTTATTTGTGAGTGTGTGCAGAGTCTGACCTTCCACTGCGGCAGGTGTCGGAGGCGGGGCATGGTGGTCAAACAGCCGAGGATCCAGGAGAGCTCAGCGTGCTCCAACACCTGCGGGGGGGGGTGAGGCGGGGACACATAGGGTGTTAGCATCAGGGAGGAAGGATCTGTTATAATACCTTTACACATCCTTTTTCAAGACTTCCTTTTTCCACCCTTTATTTGCTTTTTTTAATTGTTTTATTTGAACATATTTTAATTTCTTGTCAGCTTTAATTCACGGGAATTTCATTAGGATCATTGCAGATGTTTTATCTTCTTCTGTATTTATTTTGATATTATTTTAATATTGTTTTCTGTAAAGCACTTTGGGCTGCTTTGTGCTCTACAAATAAAGTGTATTATTATTATTATTATTATAAGATGCTATAACTTGATTACACTAGATCATATGGTAAAGTGTGATGCTGTATTAACCATTTTCACCGTTCATTTGTTAATATTTCCTGGTCTATAAATCTCAGATCTATAGGTACTAAGTAAATCACAAGCACCTGCAAATCTTTTGTCTCATCAATCGGGAACTCATATTCGTATAAAACCTGTTGCTGTGAAATATGGATCCAGTAATTCATGTTTTTACTTAAAAATACAAGATAAACATTGCACCCTGCCATTTGATTTTCAGGTATAAGGACTAACTTGTTATTGTTGTTGCTGCTGTAGTTTTCAAATATAATACTCATTTAAACAATAGGCAATTAACACTATACATGCATATTTAGAAATGGACACATGTACATCTATGTCGAACTGTATTTAGTCCCTCGTAGCCTCAGAGCAGCATAGGAAAATAAGTGGAAGAAATGATTGAGCAGCCAGATTAGACAAGCAGATGAATGGGTGAGGGGTGTGTGACAGGAGGAGGGTGACTCTGTAGCGCCTCCGAGTGGCAGAGAGGAGAACCGCTTCCTCTCTCCACTCCTCACAGGTGCACCTGGTCACACCTGTGTCGCTTGTCATCTCAATTAGAAATAATAGATTATTATGCACCTCGTCATGTTCACGGATTCATTTCACTTTTATTCATCTAATTATTCAGTGAAAGACTGGAGATATCTACACTGATCTCTTAACAAGTGTCAACAAAAGTACACTCTTACATACATTAACATACATATCTACAGTTTATAAATACATTAAATACTACAAATAGTAGTAAGAATTTGTGAATAACATCCACAGGAAACCAGCCTGGATCAGATTTGGTCACTTTGTGGGTTATTATGTTAAGTATCTTATAATCATCGGTAGACTTAAACTCGATCCATCATCGTTTCATCATCTGCTTTTATCGTATGTGTTTGTTTTATAGTGATGATTTTGAATAATAAGTTAGTTTGAATTAACATGTGGTCGAATAAATAAACTGATAATTATAATTATAACATGTTTTGGTGAAGCAATGATTGGGTGAATGTTAATGTAGAGTAGCTTGTGCATCTGGCAGTGGTAAAATCACTCCAACATATCCGCTTTCATGGAGGCTGTCCTGAAAGTGGAAAAAAAGCGTGTGTGTGTGTGTGTGTGTGTGTGCGTGTGTGTGTGTGTGTGTGTGTGTGTGTGTGTGTGTGTGTGTGTGTGTGTGTGTGTGTGCGTGTGTGTGCGTGTGTGTGTGTGTGTGTGCGTGTGTGTGTATGCGTGTAGAACATCCTGCAAATGAAAGTTTATGGACGGCGGCTACATTGCCTTCATGGACTCTTTCTCTTGTTTCTTGAAAAGCATTCTGGGCAGCGTGACATAAAGCAGGATTTGGGCTGAAAATGCAGGGGGTCGGTGTTCATTACACACTGCAGACAGACAAGAGATGGGACAGATGTGGATGACAGCGCAGAAATAGGGTTTGGATAAGTGCAATAAAACGTATTCAAAAGCTGAGGAAGAACAGGGTCTCAATTCATGCTGCAAGGCAGGAATGCAACACAATGGTAGATATGCTAATGATACGGATCATATGGACATCACACTGATTTCTATCAAGCAGGAACGGAAACAGATCCTCTGAAGAAGGGATTTGAGAGAACAGCTAACAGTTGGTCCTGTGCAGTAAATCCACTTTCCTTCGCAATACTTCGATACACACCCAGAGGAACTGAGGATGTGCTGATTCATTCCCTTCCTTTTTGATACCACTGACTTCAGTTCACAACCAGATTTTTCTTTCTTCAATGTATTTACTTGGGCAGTTGTTGTGTTTTTACACGTGGAGCAGGCGTGTTCAACAGGAAGGCCGCAGCGCTGCCAAGTTATGTGGCATCAAGCTAAACGGGAATACAAATAGGACTGTGTGTGTGTGTGTGTGTGTGTGTGCGTGTGTGTGTGTGTGTGTGTGTGTGTGGATAGAAACACAGATGGACTGAACTCACACACACTCTTTCTCGCACACACACTTCAGCTTCTAAACATGTGGTTAAGAAAAGAAAAGGCAGTATCCAAGAAGGAAGAAACAGCTGTTCTGATTTCTCTCTGTGAATTTCGACGTGAAATCTGCGATCTGCTGAAGTGCTGCAAATGTTAAGACTGTCATTCGCTTCTCCTTTTATTTATGTGGCCAAAGCCAGATTTAATGGTGGTTTATAGGAGGCGTGTGTTTTTATAGCCCCTGTGAATTTCCAGCGCAAACAGTGGAGATAAGAATCAGGAGCGATTAAATCAGCGTTTCTGGGGTTGACTGGCTCACTCTTCGGCAGGTAAACATGTCAGCAGGAAAATAAACAGTGAACGATGTCCAACTGACTACCTGCCAAACTCGTAAATAACATAACATCTGATTTCTAAAAGAACCCATATTTATAAGAGAGTACTGTACTAACAAACTTGCACATAAGCATAAGTGTATTTATCAAGCGAATGTTTTGTTTAACAGCAACATGTGAAATAAATGTGCAGACATGAAAAATATATGTGTGTGCAGAAACATGTCAGGCAATAACGATACATTACTCTATTGAAGTTTGCAATTGATATGCAATCAAACGACACCTTACTTTACATCTACTATAGCTGTGTTAAAAAGATTGACATTGTACAATGCACAGTAAATGCTAACAGTTTCTATAAGGCTGATTATCTACTTGCCTTTTCCAATGTAGCAACAGAAATGACTTTAACATGAATAACACAATCTCATCTTGTAATGAAACACAGCAGACATCTAAATACAACTCATTGAAACTGAATGTTCAGCCACACATGAGCTCATAACTATCATAGCACATTAGCAGTAAATGGTCATCTATGGCATGTTTGTTTGAAAACCGTAAAAGTCATGGTAACATTTGGAATTTGTATTGTATTATCAGAATCATAAACATCTTATAGTCTTAGTGCTGCAAAATACCCGAATCAAATTAAGTTCAATAGGCAATCTTTCTATGGATTCCTTGCAATGCCAACTTCTGGGTCTACAACAAGTCATTCCTGCACCACTGTATTAAAACAACAGACCCCCCCCCCCCCTGCTTACCTGAGACTGCTGGAAGAGCACGGCTCTCTCCGGGTCGATGCCGCAGGCCAGCAGACTGGCGGCCATGTCCAGGATGTTGCTGCGCAGCTGAGCCGGGTCCTGAGGCTGAGTGATGGAGTGCAGATCCACGATGCTGTACAGCACGGAGGGGAACTGGCTCTGCAGGGACACCCAGTTCTCCAGAGCCCCCAGGTAGTTCCCCAGGTGGGGCACCCCGGTGGGCTGGATCCCAGAGAACACACGGCCCCCTCCTGCAGGCTCCTGGAGAAGAAGGGGACGATCTTTATTTGCACTTTGTTAGTTAAAGATATTTGTATAGAACTAACTGAAACAACAGAATGAGTGATGTATAACTATTGCAGACAATGTACAAGTGACCATTAGACATAATAAAACCATCACAGCAGGGACATTATTAAACTGCTTCCATATCTGTTTGGAAATTAAGTAAAAAGGATACTTAATAAAAACTGTCCCTGGATGTAGAAATGCAATCTCTTTACACTGTAGTATGGAGATGCAATATCTTTGTCGGAATGTAGCGATCGCAATGGACTCCTTGACATCAAATCAATGGGACTCTTTGCATTGGCTTTCAACATTTTGCAGAAGATTTGATCTGAAGCAAACTCACTCTTATGACACTTTACACGTTTTGTTGAGCAGTATAATCTCCACATTCAAAGTAATTGAAGCGTAAATGAAATCAACAGAAGTAAAAAGCTAGCGTATGGCTATGAAGAACTACATGACGTCGCATTTCCTCCTTATTTCAGGCATTTAACCACGATGAAAAAAACATTGACTTTGAACCGACGTAACACAGAAGTGCTAAAATGCTGTTCAACATCTAAGTGCTTCTTCAGGCCAAGAGAGAACACACGATAAGGGACAGAAAAAAAAAAGTCTGAAAAATGGTGAGGAGGAGAGAAAGGGTGAAGGTGAAAAGGTGAGAACGCCTGCGGACACTGGAGTGTTGGTGTTAAACTTTTGGCAGGTTGCAGGCCAGCAGCGGTCATGCTTGAGTTACAGAGATGCTAACTCCATGGCTAGCACCTCTGTTCTCCCCCAAACACATCCAGCACGAAGAATGCATCACCTCGCAGGCCAACAATAACAATTAACCTCCGTCCAGCCAACTTCAAGGCCTCTGTGACCACAACGGGGAGGACAGTGGAAGAGGAGAGGGGAGGCAGAAGAACCACTGAAATAATATACAACACGAAAACCCCCATAATAACCTTATTACAGAGCTGGAGCTAAAATGGCAGGAGGAAGATGTATCGTTGGGCAAACATTGTGTTTCTCTTTCGTGTTTCGCCAGACCGCTTCATTTCTCCGGGCATCGACCCACTCCGCTGAACCTTGGCTTTCAATTGGCCCAGCTGGAAGAAAGTCTTAACCACAGCTTCTGGCACAAAGCTCCACAAGATACAATTAGAGGGCAAGCAGAGCGGCACCTGTCATGAGACGTGAAACCCACTGGCATCTCAAATCTGGGGCTTCCTCACCAGAGCCGTTACACAGTAGATTAGGACTCTGACAGAGCAGAAACACACAGAGACAGAGGCTTGGTGTTTGTGTTGGGCGGTTAGAAAGACAAAGTGTTTGAGGCCTGGGTGACGCACACTTCCCTGCCCACCGTGGAGTTCAGTTCCCGGCAGAGGTGCGGTGCTAAGGTTTGGCCGGTTGCTCCGACTCTCAGCTGTGAAGGTGGTGAGGGATCAGAGTGTTGGAAGGTGGAGTATTTAGGATAGATAATATGAACCCACACGTATAACGGGTAGAATTACATATTAGGTTTAAAAAAAAATACTGGTTTACTGAGCGGCCACAATGATGCTGCTCTGGATTTTTAAAAACAAAAAGGGGGCTGTGTGGTAGGTTTGTCACTTCAGATAGTGTTGAAGATAAAAGTCTTGTTAAGCACAATATGTCCCCGAGTTCAACCTTATATAATCATTATTAGATGCATGATTTGATGTTTCTAAGATTATACAACTATTTTTAAACAGTATTTGCATTAAACGCCTCCATCGGACTCCTTTGTTTTTTACGTACGTAACATAGTGACATCACTATGTAACACTACCACTATTGGCCAGTGCTCCAACACATTGTACCTAACGGCCCCTACACACGGCGGCGTGCGTTGACGCTTCAACGCTTCTGCCCATTCACTTTGAATGGGGTGACGTCACGATTCGCCGAACTGCATTCTGGGAGCAAAGCGTAGCTTTTCTCGCGGTGCTCGCTGCAAAAGTAGAGCAATGTTCTACTTTTGAAGCTGAGGCGGAGGTGTCAGCCAATCAAATCCCGCGTATGCAAATCTGCCAGTTCAAGCGCTAGCCAATCAAACCGCGTGTATGCTGGGAGAGCCAGACCGCAGTTCATTTCCTCATATGCCAAAAAATGGAGGAGAAAATAATCGTAGCGGTAGGGAATCACCCGGTGCTTTCAGTCCCTGTTCACCTACCGGGATACAAACCGGAGGAGCCAGGCATGGAGGGAGGGTGGCAGAGACAGTGAGTGAAACTGGTAGGTTTTCGCCTGTTTGGGGAGTTTATATCCAGTGTACTTCGTTTGAATGGACAGCAGGCATAGACAGTATATTTAGCCACCATGCAATGTTGCATAAAATAGCACCATAGACATTAATTAAAAATCGCTTTTTTAGACATTAATGTCTATGGTGAGATTCATACACGGGAGCCTTTTTAAAGCCTTTTTACCCCGCTGCAAACAGAAACCCCCCCCCCTTCACATCACAAACTTTACACAGACCCCCCCTTCCAATTATCAACTCCTGTCTTGTTTCCGCAAACTCTTGTGTCCTGCAGCAGCTAAAAGTTTTGCAAGCCCCCGTTCGTTTAGTACCTAAAATAATAGACATCGCTTTTTCCAGCTGACAAACCCGACTTTCTGGTCATTTCTTCAATTTTCCAGCCCTTGGGGAGAGACACGGGAGATTCATGTGATTGGTTGTTGGTCGCGTTGCTCGCGTAAACTCCCCAAGCTCAAGACACGCCCACCGCCAAGCGGCAACGCACGCCGCCGTGTGTAGGCTGCGTAAGAGGCTAAGGGGCGGGACATCTCTAAGTGGTTGACCAATCAAAACAGAGCCAGCCAGCTAACCAATCAGAGCAGACTGGGCTCTGGTTTCAGACAGAGGGTGAAAAGATGTGTTGCAGCACAGGCAGTATGAAAAAAATTAAGAGTTTTTTTAACATTATAGCATGGAGACATGTCACAGGAGAGACACTACATACAAAAAGCTTTGAATAGGGCCCCTTTAACTTCTTCAACACCCTACATGGAAAGTCAGTTGTTAAAAAATTGAGGGGACATAAATATTGGCTTTGATGGCAATCCAACACATTTGTTGAGACAACATCTTAAGTTGATATTGTAGTTATGGTTTAATCACCTTTAAAGATAATGACACACAATCCTGATGAGTTTGTTTCAGTGTGACTTTAGTTTGAGATGAGCTGACGGGTTGTAAACAGCAGCAGCTGGACAGAGGAGCCGTTTTGAAACACTCCCCAAAAAACCCATGGGATCTCTGTTATCACCTCGAATCTGACTGCCGATCATATGTTCCCCGGCTGCACTCTTCAAGGTTATCACAACTAATCATTAAAACCTGAAGCTTTCAGAGGATATCCTCTTCAGTCGCTGCTGAGGAATCGGTTATCTTGACAGCTAGCTGAGCTACATCACATTCAATCTGACTGAGGGACAGGCTCAGCGCAGCCTGAGATCAGATAACAGCTGCTCTCTCACCAGCGTGGCCCACAGCTCCTCAATCTCTCAGCCTAAAGGGATCGAATAACAACTGTTCTGAGGCCAGCGTGGTCCACAAAGTCTCCATCTACTGGCCTGAGGGAGCCGGCCGCTGCCCGGCCAGAGAGAGGCAGGAAGGAACTGGGTGCTTATGTCATTACCGACGGGGTAATTGCACTGGAGTGCCATTGATGCTGAGAGCCTCTTAAGAGGTGTCAGGATAGATTTGGGCCCCGAGTCTGGCTCATGTGTGTTCTCACCTCGAGCTGACACGCCAAACGCATGTTCCCCCTCTGCTGCGGCCCCCGGGGGAAGCCATTAGCCATGCAGACATGGTAATGGTGTCATTTGAGCCAATCGAGTGTCAAATGAGAGTCAACGCCGCGGCTAACTAGCCACTGGGCAATGGAGCTATCATGCATAACGCTACACTTCAGCAGACACCAGCCAGGGCTGCTGGTCAGAGGAAAGACTCTTTAAACATGGGCCTCTGCAATGTTTGGGAGTGAAAGTAGGTTATGTAAAGAAGTAAATCAAATACTGCATGATGACAGAGGATACAGCAAATGTTGCAAAGCAATTATTGTTAGTAAAAAAGAATGCTGCACAGCAAATATAGGAGTAATAAGAAATTATCATCTAGTGTTCTTTTGCTATTGACCATATTAAATGTTGTTCTAAGAATGCAAATCAAATCTGATTACCGCTAAAAATGTAAGTACAGATGAGGTCAGAAAACGTTCGTGGTACAAAATAAAATGTTGACTGGCTCTAAAAAAGTTATTGCATTTCATCCTTAGGAAGACATTAATGTCTGTAACAAATCTAATGGAAGTTTTACTCAAATCCACAAAAAGTTGGCACTCTTGTGGCATCAAAGGAAAAGGCAGGGGATGACCAAAGTCATTTGATGAATCAACTGAAACATGAATACCTGTACCAGATTTGATTGGAAATACAGTTCAAAACAAGATATTTAACTCCAATCCAAATATGGCAACCTCTTTGGCACCAGAGGAAAGATGTCAGGAGATGACCATGAAGTCATTAGTATTCATCAGGGAAACATTGATGTGTGTGCTAAATGTAATGACAAATGATCCAATAAAAGATATATTGATGTGGACCAAAGAAGTAGACCAATCAGAGGATAGAACGATATTGTCAAGGAAAACGTAACTGGAAAATGTCAATTATGACCTGAATTATGTCCTGTCTGCTGATTTTTACAGCAGGCAGGACTCCATTCTCAGCAAACAACAACAACAACAAGCTCAATGTAAACAAAATACTATCCCTTTTGATTGGACATAATTACTATTATATAAGATATTAACCCTTCCCCCATCATCTCTTCACTCCCTCTCTCTGCCCGTAAATGACGCGTAGAGAAAGCGGGAAACGCTGGTTGTTCTGTCTTAATATTTGTCTCTGACAGGCTATACATCGAAGGTGAAGAAAGCTTTCTTCAACCA